TATCTAGTTGTGTAACGGGCTAATTCTTCAAATTTTGCAACGTATTGGGTTACGATCATATTCCCTTGCTCCAAGGTTTGGAATTCCTTGATCCACTCTCGGCGGACTGTACTTGGAAAATATTTATTTAGGAATAGTTCCCTAAACTGGTTCTATGATAGGCTCGCTACATCATGGGTATTCTTGATTAGCTCCCACTAGTGGTCGGCCTCATCATCAAGCTCGATACTGCCAAAGCTATTCTATCAGCGGCTTCGGTTATGCCCATAGTGTCTAGCATTTTCTCTATCTGTCGAACCCAATTTTCAGCTACCTTTAGGTTTGGTACACCTGCGAACTTTGGGGGCCTCTGTTTGAAATTCAGAAAAGAGTTGAGTCCTCTCATTCTACGATTGTTCCTTAACTGCCCTAGTTCTTCCAGAATTTGATGACCTAGGTTATTGGGGATATTGGCCCCAGTGGGTACGGGTCCGTGTTGATCTCTGAACGGTTCTGTGCATTGTTGTTGGTTTCTGATAATAGTCATTAGCTCGTGTGTTCACCATTCTGTTCATGGTAGTGGTGAGTTGGTTTCCAGTTTTATAGCTAAAGAGAATCTCGTTACTTAGATTTGAAATGAAGGTTTAGTTTCCTTAGGGTGTACTAAAGCAAGTAATAGTCAACAATATAGATCAACACATCATTCATATATTATAATAGGCATCATTACAAAAGGGCTCCTAGATCGGAGTTACATTTAAAGGGCATCTCCAGATTACAAAGTTCAAGTTATCTTATTCTAAGGATCTCTATCAACGGATCTTACAAAAGTCTAGTTTTACTATCCCTCGAACTAGTTCTCGTTCCCCGACCAATCAAAGTCTTCTTCTGGGTCTTCATCAACAGAGTCAGTTGCTTGGTCCGGAGAGTGGGGGGTGTACATCGGTGAGAGGGAATTGTGTTCAGAAGACACCTCTATAGGGTAGGCTTGGGTTGCCCCTTGCTGTTCGGGTGGTTGCTCCATATCCATTGGTTGTTTGTTGCCTGTTGATAATGAGATTCGTAACTTTCGGCCTGCGTCGGTGGTTGGTGGAATGCTATGGTGGTCAAAGCTCGGTGAATCAAGGAGTCCATTCTCTGGTCATCTTGCTCCATTCGGATCGTCTTCTTTGCTGCCCGACTTAAAAATTGTAGGCGGCGTCGTACCAGGGACCTTTTTTGCTCCCTCATATAGTGGGAGTACTCTGTTTCCACCTTACGTTCTCTGTTATGATCATTTCTTCGCGCGGCAATCGCACAGCGTCGACGGCTAAAGTAGGGGCTGACAGACATGGCCCTCTTTCCCTAACATACGGAAAGTACCCCACGAGTCGAGACTGACGCTGGGTCTTGGATGGCCTCCCGATGACATCCTAAGGTGGAAAAAGATTTTATTTGTTAGTCTCTTTTAAATATAATAGTGTGATAGTAATACAATAAGGTAAAGGGGTAAGGGCTTCTAGAGATGCGTATTGGGTTGCTGTCACGACCCAAACCCGGCCCTATGGGTTTAGCACCGTAACCGGCCAGTAATCCGAGATTACCGAAGGCCTGCTGAACAGTATACAGTAAAACAGAGTACAGGGCCTGGCGGAAGCCAATACAGTAATTAAACAATGTCCAATGAGCTGTGACAGTCTGTATGCCAAAAAGATTTTTCATGCATTCATACATACACAAACAGTACAGTCTATACAGGATTTACAATCACACAGTACAGGGACCTAATCCCTTGATAACAGTACGGTAAACATTCAGTCTATACAGAACAGTTAGACAGTATAAAGACAGGCGGGGAAAACAAACAAAACACCCCCAAGCCATAGCATGGCAACTCGGAACCTCGCAGTGAGGCACAAAGGCTGGCTTGACAAAACTGGAGTTACCCTGACGCTCCTAGCTCCGATCTGGTGCCTGTACACCTACATATATATATATGAGCAGTGAGCTAAAGCCCAATGAATAACATAAAGCGTAAAGGGTTTAGAATGAATGTCCTTACAATAATGAAAACAGTTCAATTCAATCAGTATTTCAGTTGTTCAGTACAGCAAACAGTCATATGTGGTACATCCATTA